GGCATGTTGCATGGCTAAGATAGCTTCCTGCAAATCCTTGGTTTTACCACCCTTCAGGCTGTCCAGGGAATGCACGAACCTGCAAGCCTGGCCACGCGTGCAGGAACCTGTCTTGGAGAACTCAAAGCAAGGCTTTGGGCTAGCTCGCAACTCTGACGTGGCGTGGGCGAAGGTGCAGTCCGCCCCCATCTTGCACTCGTTGGTCCGCCAAAACTTGCACATGCGGGTGAACTGCACGGCCTTCTTCTGCTCAGCCTTGGTCATGTTGGCGATAGCTGCGGCACTCTGTATCAAAGTTCTCCCGCTACAGGCTGCACGACTGCAAAAATGGCTGCAGATTCACGGTCGAGCATGTTTTGCTTCGGCACGTAGTGCAAGGGACCATACGGCATATCGTGGCACATCGGCCGACTTCTTCAGGCAGACCCAGCCAGAAGCGCATTGGACTTTTACTTGCCATGACACTCTCAAATCATGTATCTACGTGTCACACCGGAATCAGGCATCCCGGCTTCGCGCAAGGAGAAGCCTGATCGGATTGTTGGTGACGGCGATGTGCTAGCATTCCACGGGCCGCGCGAGCGCGTGCCATCACTGCAGCACACCATTCGAAAAGAGGGATGTTTACTTTTCTGGAGGAGGTACCTGCAAGACACTGTTGCCAAGCGACTTCAAACACGTGCAGGCGTAGAGAGTCACACAAACATGTGGCAGAACAACCTTAACATCTCTGCAACTACTGTCGCTACCTGCAACTGTCGCACGTGTCGCAGGCTCAAATCATCTACTGTATCCGCCGACTAGGCGGCTTCTGGAAACCATCACCATCAGCAGCGGACTGTCTCGCTGCCGGGTCTGCGGCAGCGGTCAGCAATCCACCGACGGATTTGCCGGAAAACAACGGCGTCTATCCTACAACAAAGTGCAGGTAGAGCTCCGCGGCCTCAAATAGAACACCTTCTAGACTGGCACAACAGGCTGGCCCATGAGAGGAATTTTCGTTTAAGACTTACACAAAAAACGTTCCCGCGTGTTGTCAGACGCAGGAGCTCAATCTGCAAAAAGCACCCGGGCAATTGAGGCAACGTCGTTTAAAGTTTGCTAACCTGCCCCAGCAGTGGTAGGAAGGTTGGAAGGTATGGTCAACTTAACACCGTACTTAAGAATCTCAATGCAGGAAAGCTATACCAGTTCATCTGGCGAAGATGTACACTTCAAACACTATAGCCAGAAGGATGTCCCATCCGGGCCGTCTGATTCACTCAAGCTTGAGGGTGTAGTAGACAAACACATGGTAGAAGTCAAGCTCTGGGTAGCCATAGTTGCTTCATCTGCTGCCCACATCTGTTCAAGGTCTGCTGCCTTGGGGATGGGCAGAGAGACGCCTTCCAAACCCAGGGAGACTTCACTTAGACTGGAGCGGCGAGAGTCTCCATCCTTGGGCTTTGCCAAGCTAGTTTTCCGAAAGCCTGCTGGCGCCAGGCCCGTGAGCATGCCCATGTCTTCCAGCCCGGGCGGTGGACGAAGGCAGGCCAGCGACCCGACATCAGCCTGCAATGGCATCGAGGTTGTGTTGCTCACCCGTGGCCCTGGCATCGGAGCGTTCAAGGAAGGCGGCATGAGAGTCATCGATCCGGTGCCCACCATGTTGAACTGAGCCTGAATGTTGCTGGCCTGCTGCATGGCGAGCATAGTTTCCTGGAAATCGTTGATTTTGCCACTCTTCAGGCTGTCCAGGGAATGCTCGAACCTGCAAGCCTGGCCACGCGGGCAGAAGCCCGTTTTGGAAAACTCGAAGCAAGGCTTTGGGCTAGGTCGCAACTCTGACGTGGTGTGGGCGAAGGTGCAGTCCGCCCCCATCTTGCACTCGTTGGTCCGCCAGAACCTGCACATGCGGGTGAACTGCACGGCCTTCTTTTTCTCCGCCTTGGTCATGCTGGCGGCTATCGCTCCGCAAAGTGGCACAGGATGTATGTTTACTTGAGCTGCCACAATGCTACGGGAGGTTGCTTCACCAGTGGCATCCACCGATGAACACGACACTTCTGAGCCTGCGCTGGCATGACCAAACTGCGATCATTTTCAGATGCACATTGGTCCAGGTGTACGGAACAAGAGCTTTATGCATTCTTGCCGCTTTCCTGCAAGAATGCTGCCACTGTACTTCTTGTTTCATACGCCAAGGGCTGACCTTGACCCCAACAAAGAGAACATGTGGGCTCAGGTCTGGTGATTGCACCACCTGAGAAGCGCTGTCACCCCTTATCAAAGAGCTCTCATGCAGCAGGCCATAAAATCAGCTTGGATGCCAAAATGGGGATCCAGCGCCTCAGGAGTTTCTGTTGGAACTTCTGCAGGCGGAGGATTTCAATCAAAATTACTTACTTAATGAAAGCACGCACGGAAAGACACCAGCAAATGGCAGCAGCAGGTTCTGCAGCCAAGAAGGGTGCATGCTGATTGATTTGGCAAGACAGCAAACAAGACTTTGTACAAAAGTGTCTGCCTCATCGTGAAGCTTTGAGTATAAGCAATATATTAAAATTCATGAGCCCAATTGAGGCCAAACTGGTGCCCAACTCATACCTCACACATGCAGGTTGAAGAATTGCTGAGCTGCATCATGATGCATCGACAACGCAAAGGTGGCGTGTCTAAACACTATGTGTGGCGAGCTCATGGATTTGAAAGAGTTGCGCACTTTGGCCACGTGCACTGCATGCTGCATGCCTTGCTCGCTCTGTCAGCGAAGTATCAGATCTGTGCATGCAGCATGTCCGTATGGCAAGTCCTGATACAAATTACTTCTTGCCGACTCCCGTCCTGTCCAGCTTGCGCCGGACACAAAAGCCTGCATAGCTTGTGATAGAACGCAGTAGTGCTAGTAGCCAAATTTGGTAACTGCTTCTGCTACGCCCTGCTTTGCTGTACATGCGGCGGGCTCTGTCAACGTTCTAGGCAACATATGCAGGTCAGGAGTCATCGAAAACCGTCATCATTGCGCAAACCAATCTGCTAGCTTCCAAGCAAGATTCTGCCTAATTGAAGTGATGCCGTGGGCCTGTGAGGGCTTCACAGCCAGAATGATGTCCCTTCGGA